ATGAACCCCAGACCAACCAAACGTTCCCCGCTTCCTCCGCCGTCGCCAACAGCAGTATGTGTGTGTGTCCCGCCCCCCTTGTCCATGTTCCCTGTCTCTGTGTAGTGCGTGTCTTGCCAGTAGCAGCAGCAATGTGTGCAGCACGGCAGTGCGTCGTGGTTTCTTCTTGCGTGCGTGTAGTTTGTTGCCCAGAGAAAAACAAAAATGACGACGCCTCCCGGGGATGCGTCCATGTGCCATATATATATATTTGCACAAACGGTGTGCTATCTCGAGACACGGACCACGGATTGCAAAGGTAGCGGTTGGGACAGCTCGGGCAAAATATTACTTGTTGTGCGCAAGTTTTAGTTTGCAATTTGGTGCCGAGATATCTGATGGTGAAATGGGCTCGAGTTTGCTGGGTATTTAGGGCGCGCAGACAGACAGACACCAGACAGACAGCCATGGCTAAATTTTCACGCCCCTGTGCATGAAAATTATTCTTTTTCTCGTGCGCACATACTCCACCCTCGATCCCTCTAAACAGCTTTTTTTTTGTAAAACAAAACAAAAAGCGTACCCCTAACGGGCCACACTTTTTCAAAAAAGTAACTATAATACTTATTGATGAATTTTTTCTCCTTTTTTTTCTGTTCTTGTTTTCCTTCTTTTATTATCCATTATTTATGTTCTCTCCTTCATTATTGATATTTTTTCCCTCTCTTTTCTTTTCTTCTTTCCTTCTCTTATTATTTTTATATGTGTTTTTTCCTTCTTTTATTTATTATTATTTTCTCTTATTTCTCGTCTTTTTTCCTTCTTTCGTGATTTGTTCATTTATTTATTTCCCTCGCATTTAGTATTTTTTTGTGTTTTTTTTCTCTCTCTCCTTGCTTTACCTTTTTCCTTCTTTTATTTTATTTTTTTCTTCTCTCCTTTCTCGTTGTTTTTTCTTTTTTACTTCCTCGGTTTTCCCCTCCTGTTTTGGTTTAACTTTTGACTTGTCTCATGTTGTAGGAGTGCCCAGTAGGTTACCGGTTGCGTTGCACGTATCCCGTCGCTGATTCCTGCCCTGACTGACCTTGCGTTAATCACTTCGGTTTTGTCCTTTGTCCGTCGTCACTTCTTCCTCCAGTTGGCGAACGTTGCAAATGCTGCCCGACCAGGATGAGAGCGCTAAGCTGTCACCTGCTGCGCTGCACATGTTTTCACTAACCGATTCTGAGACTTTATATTTTTGCACGTTTGTCAGCTGCGTCTTGTAGCAACATGATACCGTAATTTTTTACCTTCCATGCGATACGTCTGAATGTTGTCGCCACACCATTCTCGCTCATATGTCAGAATCGACAAAACCTTTTCGTTTCGTCCTCACTCTCTTCAGTACTGGTTCTTCTCGTTTTCCCGCTTGCTTCTCCTTTCTTTCCCTCTTGCTACGCAGATGGCTTCCCCCGTTCGCTCCACCGATCGCCGCAACCAGGATCGCTCGCGCTCTCCAAGTCGGGAGCAGTCGGGGAGGCCGAAGAAGTCACGCTCTCCACACTCCCCACGCTCTCGCAGTATGGAGCAGGCGGGGGGGGCGAAGGAGGCACGTCCTCCCTCGCGCGCCCGCAGCCACTCGCGCCGTAAGAGTCGCTCCCCCCCGAAAAGTCGCTCTCCTTCGCGCGCCCGCAGCCGCTCTCGCCGGAGGATTCGCTCTCCCTCGAGCTCGAGCAAACGGCGACGCTCTCCGTCGCGGTTGTATGCACGGCACCACTCTCTCGCCGCCACCCAGGCAGAGCCAGCGCCGTGAGTACTCCTTGGAGTCCAACCCGCCCCGTGGCCTCCCGCGCGGCCACCGCGACACCGGTAACGAGCGCGGCTGGGAACCACGCCGTCCATTCCCCGGCGCCTTCTACCGCGCGGACCGCCAAGGCGCTGCAGGGGCCGCCTCGGCAGCCGAGGTACATCGAGGAGCGGCATGGGCTGCACCAGCAGCTCTCAACGGCCGGGGTGCTGCGAGTCCAACTCCGGTCCAGGATCCGCGAGCACCTACCCACGAGTTCCCGCGTCCGTCTGGTAAGCCCTTCGGTACAGAGGCTAACCAGATGTCGAAGGTGATTGAGAGAGCCCGTGAGAGAGTTGCGGACAAGGTATCGGGTCCAGTGTACGCAGGGCCAGGCCCCGGGGAATTGTCGATCAACAATTGCGCAGTGGGGCTTCAGCAGAAAGTCATGAGCGTTCTTCGTACTCTCGATTCTGGAGTGATCGCGCTTGAACCGGACGTAATTCTGAACGGGTTTTGGGCAACACAACCAGACGTTCACACCGGTCGGCGTCGGGAGTTGCTTCCCGATCTACTACACGAACACTTGTTGACAAACAACCAAATCACTTAGGCCGACACCGTACAAGTGTATCGCATATCAGGAGAAGTAGTAGACACCCCACGTGACAGTGTAACGGGTACCGACTGGCTGCGTCTCATTGTGCGTAAACATGCCTTGACGGGGGGTGCGGTTGAGTACACTAATGCCGCGTTGCAGGCTATGGTGCTTGGTACGCCCGAATCCATGCCCATCGCCGCAGCCCGCGTTTTAGCAGCCTTCCGCGCCACATTGGTAGATCCTGACCGGCCCTACATCACTGAACAGCGGTTTTTCTGGCGGTATATCTAGGAAGTGCAGATGATAGCCTTGTTCGAACGCGTCACCGAGGTACTCCTGCCGAATCCGGTTGACAGAGCCGGGGCCAACGGGCTGCTACATGGACGCAAACATTCTGTCAGCACCACCCTGCAGAAGTTGCGTCAAGAGTCTCACCACCCCATGGGGGATCACATGAGCCACCGAGGCACGATGGCTGAGGGCCTGTTTCGCGAGTTTGTAGCAGTTTTGAGCGTGCGTTCCAAGCAATACATGACCCCGCCGACCCCCCGCACACCGAACCGCGCGGGCGGGCAGGATCGCCTCTGTGGGGCTAACCCTACGCCTCACCACATGTCGATGCCCGAATATCGACAGCTGTTCACCGCAGATGGCTTGGCGTCGTACAACAACTCGACGCTACCACTCGCCGCGTCGGGAGGCAGCGCGCCCCGCCGGCCGCCGCCTCCCACCGGGCTAAACTCTGTTGCCGCCGTAGCGCCGCCCGTTGCTGCCCCAGAGACCCCTTCGTCGGTTGCCGTCGCAGCGTTCCAGAACCACAAGGCCAGCACGCCCGGCCAGCACGGTGTTCCTTTCACGGCCAAAGCACCGTCATCGACGGCCGCACCAGCGACAACGCCACCAACGGCCGCCACTACGGCCACTGCGGTGACACACCCGCCGGTGACTGCACCCCGGTCCGTGATCCTCGATTACCTCATGGAACATGGGATCTGCTACGCCCACGTGTTCTCGGCCTGCCGTGGACAGGGCCGTTGCAGGTGGCGACACGACCTACTGCCAGCGTCATTCTACAAGGACGTGCCACGTCCGGCGAGCCGTGGGCCTACTCACACGCGTCGCGTCGTAGCCGCGTTGACGCCCGCCCATTACGACACGGCCGTCGCCATGGGCCTCGAGCTTCACGTGTCGGGCAAGCATCAGGCGGCGATGATGGCAGGGGACATCCCGATGGGACCTCGGGACGACGCCGACATGTGAAACGAGGACCCGGGTCTCGCCAACCCGGGGCACCTTGCATCCGCGAGGGCGGAGCACGGCGCCGGCGATCAGCTGTGGATACGTGGTGAGATCGGACGAGTTGGGCGTAGACGTAAGCCGTACCCAGTGGAGATTTTTCTTGATACCGGGGCGGGCGGGGGCAACTACATTTCATTAGAGCTGTGGTGTCGCGTACGTAGCTTAGCGAGGTGCAGGTTGGACAGACGCTCGGCGAGAGCGTTGGAAGCAGCGAATCCGTCGGAAAGTGGCGTGCCCCCGATGCGTATTCTAGGACATGTCACGATCCCAATCCTGTTCCAAGACGACTCTCAATTACGGTTCGTCACGGCCAGAGTAGTACCGGATCGCCCGTACGGTATCATCATCGGAGCTGAATATGTTCGACGCAACAAGAGCACGCTTGATTTTGGAGAAGGCAAAGGCTTTCGACCCACGCCTGACGCGTCCTTCGTACCGTTTCTGTCGAGGCCGGTAGACCACCCTGCACAACCGTCACCGCTGTCAGCCGCACACGACCGCTTTGCTCTCTTGACATGCGACCCGCAACGCGACACTCACCTGTCCGGCATTACCCCGCTGCCCGAGCTGCCCAGGTATCGTGACGTCGCGTGGGAGGATGACAGCACTCTGGAATGGTACCTGGTGCTAGGCTCGCGGATGTCATCAGGGTTCACTAGTATCGCGATGCAAACTGTAGCGATGTGTCCTCGGCCACAGGACAGGCAGTTGGTGATGGTGTTGCCCACGGAACGGTTCGATCTAGAGAAGGGAGCCACAGTTGGGATTGCACATGCAGTGATGTGGTGGACGCCGGGAACACCGGTGTACTGCAAGTTGGTAAATCGCGATGCTCGGGTTGTCAAAGTTACTAACGGTAGCATTTGCGCCAGGATGATCGCCCTCAATGTTCGCGACCGTGGCCGTTTCGACTCTTTGTTCAACGATACCCCGTCTACTGTTGACCCTCCACTCCCTGACCCGGTTGTTGTGCCCACCCGTGACACGAGCGACGAGACCTCAGCGGCCTCGCCACCCACTGTACGAGCGGCCGACGCTAACAAGGGTCAGCTTGGAGCGCTACAGCAGCAAGAGTTGGTCGAGGTTCTGGCCACGTTCGTTGAGGAAGGCCTATTATTCCCGATCGACCCCAAGAGAATGGCAGCATGCGGTGGCAGTGAGTTGGAGCTTCCTTTGATCGACGAGTTTTGTACACCTCACGTAGCCAAATAACGTCCATTTTCACCCGAGGAGGGACGCATGATTAGGGCTGAGATTCAACAGTTGCTGGATCGTGCTATCATTCGGCCTTCCATGTCACCCTGGGCAGCTCAATGCTTGTGTGTTAAGAAAAACGACGGAACAGTGCGACTGTGTATTTACTGGAGGGTGTTGAACAAGGTTCTCGTATCCGATAGTGGCGGGCTAGGTGATATGCAAACCATATTCGATGGACGGAAGGGCAAGCGGTACTTCACTCAGATCGATCTAGCGTCAGGTTTTCATCAAATTGAAATCGCCGAAAAGGATCGCTACAAAACAGCCTTCCGTGCCGCAGACGGCATGTTGTACGAGTTTACACGTGCGGTTTTAGGACTAACAGTTCTACCTGCCGCGTTCACGCGTCGAGTAAAGTCTGCCTTGGGAATTATCGATGGCGTGTTTAGCTGATTGGATGACATACTCGTCGCAAACGAAACATGGGAAGAACACCTTGCTGCACTGGTGCTCGTTCTACCACGCCTTCGTGCTGCTGAACTGTCCGTTAGCTTTCCGAAATACATTTTCGGGGCTTCGTCCCAAGAGTTTCTCGGAATGATAATTGATGCTACCGGCATGCACCCAGCCCCGTCGAAACTCGAAGCGATTGCCAACATGCCCCGGCCACGAACGGTCGAAGACCTGCGCACGTTTCTAGGCTTGACGGGATATCTAAGACAATTTGTCCCTCAATACAGTTTCGTTTCGGCTCCCCTGACAGACATCCTCCGCAATAAGGACGTTGCGTCTAAGCGCGCACGTAAGTTCCCTATTCAGTGGGGGGAAGCGGAGGGACAAGCCTTCCAGCAACTAAGACAGTGCCTGGCTTCCTCTACCGTGTTAGCTTTCCCTGATTCTAATGCACCTATTGAGCTGCATTCAGATGCTAGCTCAGTGAGAGCAGGTGCTACCCTGCTGCAGACCATCGACTGTACACCCAGGATCATCGCTTTCGCTAGCCATAAGTTCTCTCGCACCGACGCTCGACGAGGACCCACGGAGCGGGAGTGCATGGGAGTATTGTGGGGCGTTGATCATTTCAAACCGTACCTAGCTGGTAGACAGTTCAAAGTCGTTACGGATTGCCCTGCACTCACGTGGTTGTTTCGTAGTATAGAACTTTGTCCCAAGTTGCATAGGTGGGCTCTTCGCCTCATGGAGTACGACATAATATTAGAATGGAGGGCAGGAGTACATCACGTGTTGCCAGATGCTCTGTCCCGTTTCCCAGTGGCCAGTAGCCCCTCCGTAGATAGAGACGACTCTTTTCCTGACGATTTCACGTCCCCGGATCCCGCTACTTTCGTCGGCCCGCAAGGCCCTGTGCTTGACGGTGTGCGTCTCGCGGAGCTCACGACCGAGGGCGAATCCGAGCCCGTAAATACCGATAGTGAGATTGATCCCGCGGTCATAGCACCACTATTAGCTGACTTCCCGTTCGCTGCCTGTGCCTCGCTCGATGAACTTGTGCCACCATGTCGCTCAGGCAGACGACGCACGCCCTCAGTACGCCTATAACCCCCTCAACGACCCTCAGCTGCCTACCGTGGCACAGGATTGTGGCTACAACGCGCGTTCGTACCTGAGCCCATCGAGCTACCCCCGGCTCATCCACCACAGCCGGTGCAGCTCGAGTGCACGAGGTCCGCCGACGTGGAGGAGGTACTTTCAGCAGGGGGGGCATCGCCCTTTCGGTCAGCGGTAGACACAGGGCCAACGGCGATTCACAGGGCGCTACGAGTGCTGAAGAAGCTTGACACGCTCATTCGACGCCAGCAAGACGATGCCCTTTTGGGTCAGGTTCGGCGGGATCTAGGGGGACTCGGCTTCCCCCTCCCTCCCCGGCCTGCCCCCCCCGTCCCTCGGGTAGGCCGAGGTTCCGCAAGTGGATCTAGACCTCGAAAGACCACCCAGCAACGACGAATATAAGGTCCCTAGCACTGTTTAGAGGGGGATCCTGAGTTTGGCGGTTGGGAGTTACTGCTGTCGTGAGATCGGGGTAGCTCCTTAGCCGCCCGCTTTGGTAGCTGCAAAATGGGACTGGATCCTGACGCCCCGGCTTGGACACCGGGGCTATGCAGCAGCAGAGAGCACGGTGAGGGTGGCGGAGTGGCCGCACGCCGTGGGGGTATGCCCCAGAGAGAGGAAAGGAGCGAGTCCAGAGATGGAGGGCCACACCGCTCCGGGTCAAGAAGACATCTCTATGGGAAACAAGCCACGAACCGGGGTAACTATCACGTTAGCCCGAGTATTCGCAAGAAACTAGCAAAAAAACAAAAAAAAGAGGGGAAGATGGAGGAAAAGGAGGGGTCGAGCGGCGCGTAGGCTAGCTAAGAGAGCAGCGCGCGCCGCGCGAAAGAGACAGCAGGGTCAACTTCTTAGGGTAGCAACCTGGAATGTGCGGACTTTAGCTGTAAACGGGGCCAATTGATACGGGCGAGCAGCGTTCTACACGAGGCAGCGAGACAAGACGTATCGGTGGTAGGAATGCAGGAGGCACGAAGGGCAGGTCGAACGGAATTTGCAGCAGTGGGTTTCCGGTTGTTCTGCTGTGGCACGGAGACTGGTGGAGTCCATGGTGTGGGGATAGCCGTGAAAGAGTCACTGTGCAAGACATCCACGTTCACTACGGAGTTTATCGACGAACGCCTAATGGCCATGAGGTTTCTGTTGGCAGGCCACCGTGGAGCGGTCAACTTCGTAGCCGCGTATGCTCCAACCGAACCTTCAACCGCCGACAGCAAGCGCGTGTTCTGGGGAAAACTTGACAGTCTCGTGCGGAGGATCCCTTCCAAAGAATGTGTGTATGTCCTACTGGACGCCAACGCGCGGACGGGAGATAGGTTGGACGGAGGGGACGGAAGGGTAATAGGAATGTACGGGCGTGATGAGCTCAACGACAATGGCATGCTACTGTTGAACTTCGCAACGGAAAACAGGCTAGCTCTCACGAACACGTTCTTTGAGACACGCAAGGGCGGAATATGGCACACATACAACGGTGTGTCGGGAAACGATTGCAAGCACCTTGACTAAATCCTGACGAGGCAGGCACATCACGGCCGAGTAGCTAACGTGGTCGTCATCCCCCAGCCGGCTCGCCCAGTCAAAGCAGACTCAGACCACAATATGGTAGTAGCCACCGTCAACCTCGGTGGCAGGCTTGACCACAACCGTGCAATTCGGACCAAATTGAAACAGAAGCACTTCAACCGACGGGAACTGCAGTTCGAAGCAGCACGGTGTGCGGTGCCTAATCGGTTCCTCCTCAACCTCGACACACGACTGGACGCGCGAACAACCACCGCCGAGGAATTGGCGACCGGCTTTACCAATGCTCTCCTCGACGCAGCGCGGACGACGCTGGGGGAGGAACCGCGGAGACGCCGCACGCAGGAGTGGTGTGAGACCCCAGAGACGCGAGCAGGGCTGGAGCAGGCCCTTAACAAACGTCGGGAAGCGCGCCGAGCGATGAGGGGCAACTGGAACTCAGCGACGTGGAGGGTTCTCAAAGCAGCGTGTAAGGGGGTGGCTACAGGAGTCGAAACGGGCATTCATGCCTACCTGGACGGATATGTGACTGAGCTCGAAGAAATCTACAAAGANCAGGAGTGGTGTGAGACCCCAGAGACGCGAGCAGCGCTGGAGCAGGCCCTTACCAAACGTCGGGAAGTGCGCCGGGTGATGATGGGCAACTGGAACTCAGCGACGTGGAGGGTTCTCAAAGCAGCGTGGAAGGGAGTGGCTACAGGAGTCGAAACGGGCATTTATGCCTACCTGGACGGATATGTGACTGAGCTCGAAGAAATCTACAAAGATCGCGACATGCGAGGACTGTACCAACACCTCAACAAATCAGTGGGCCTCAGCGGGAGACAAACGGGGGGACAGAAGTTCGTCGCGGATGAGAACAGCGTGTTGCTCCGGAACAGGGAAGACATCCTCCAGCGGTGGGCGAGATTCTTCAACACCTTACTCAACACCGAACCCCCCACCCTGAACCTAGACATCATCGAACGAGTGACGCAGCGGCCAGCGACACGTGACACTCAACGGTTGGGAGATGTGCCAGAACTCGAGGAGGTGGCACGGGCAACGAAAGGCAACAAGAACTGGAAGGCACCCGGCCATGACTCCCTCCCTGCCGAGTTGCTCAAGATCGATAACGACGAACCCTTCGTCCTGGGACACCTCCATACCATCCTCGTCATGGTGTGGAACGGAGGAGATATTCCGCGAGAGTGGAAGGATGCAACCATCAAGGTGCTGTACAAGAAGGGTGACCGGTCCAACTGTAACAACTACAGGGGGATTTCGCTACTATCTCACGTAGGCAAGTTCCTCATCAAGATCATCACCAACCGTCTAAGCGCCTTCTGCGAAGCCAACAACATCCTCCCGGAAAAAACAGTCCGGATTTCGACCCGGGCGATCCACGGCGACATGCTGTTCGTCTTGCGCCGCCTCCAGGAGCTGGGGCGGAGAAAGAAAATACCGCTCTACATGTGCTTCGTCGACTTGAACAAGGCGTATGATTCGGTGGACCGAGAGATGCTATGGAAGGTGGTGGCCAGGGCCGGGATTCCCGCGAAGCTGATCGAAGTCATCCGCCAATTCCACGATGGAATGCGGGCCCGGGTGCGCATGGACGACGGAGAACTATCGGACTGGTTCTTCGTGACACAGGGC